AATTGTCAGGCCATTATTTACATTTACACACTGAATTGTCTAGGGATATTCCGTTTTTCCCGATTATGACAAGGAGCACACGGCGGGTGTGACTGGTCGGCATGGGATGCTTATTCCTCCATGGCACCTGATCCCACTTCTGATATTTTATGGAGGTCCGTGTTTGCTCTGCTCCTGATTTGTATTCTGTTCGTTAACTCTATATTTCATATATATATATATATATATATATATATATATATATATATATATATATATATATATATATATATATATATATATATATATATATATATATATATATATATATATATATATATATATATATGTTTTAAAACTCTTACCGCATTTTAATAGCTTCTTTTTTCTTTTTCCATGCAGATTTTTTTCTCTTTGGAATGGTTTTAAATTGTGTCTCACAATGTGTATACCTTAGCTCCTTTTCAATGGATAAATTGCATATATTTCGGTGTTAAATACCCAAATCATATTTCGATGTTAAATACCCAAATCATATTAGATAACAGAGGGGCATTTTTGTCTTCAATGCTTTTGTTTATTTATTATGCAATGAAACTTGTTCATATAAAATTGTGTAGTAGTCTTAAAGACTATAACAAAAATACAAATAATTTGTTTCAAACAACGCCAAGCAGGAATTGATATTTATTAAATCAATTTCTTCTGTTACGCAAATTGTAAAATATCTTTTACATATTTGTCAATGTTTGTAACGTTCTATGAGATGAGAGGATAACAAACAGCAACCATAAACATGCTAAAAAATCCAATGACACAATACAAACTGTGAGCAGAGCAAACACGGGTCTCTGAAGACATCAGAGGTGGGATCAGGTGCCATGGAGGAGTGAGCAACCCCTGCCGACCGGTCACACCCAATGAAAAATCCAATGAAACAATACAAACTGTGAGCAGAGCAAACACGGGTCTCTGAAGACATCAGAGGTGTCCTTATTTCAAGTTCATGGGATATATCAAATCAACGTATGAATGTAAATAAATACCGACAATTGATAAAACATCATCGATATGTCTACATTTAAGTCTTGAATTCAAGACCACAGAAAGAGATTTTTGAGTAAATTCTGCTTCATAGAATACAAAACTTCTGCCAATAATGGGGCACAAATATTCCTTATGGGAATTCCGGATCCACCAGATTGTTGGAAAACCTGGTCTCCATTCTTATTATAGAAACAGTTGTGTATGATGTCAAAAAGCCTGCTCTTTAATTCATCGTGTGGAATGGTTGTAAAAAGAGTTAAAAAATAGTATATTTTGGTGCTATTGATTCTGGTAAAATGTAATTTCAAATTTTCGAAAAAGTTCTGTGTATCACATCTGATTAACACCGTTGCTTCACAGTACTACTAAGGTTTCTCCTTCACTGATATTAATATTTTTGTGAGGAGTAAAGAAAGGAGCTTGGTAGAACATTTGATAGATCCCACTGTGTATCACTGTAAGGATATTTATGAAGTTTTGGGATACAATATAGATTTGGTAATTCAAAATCAATATGGTTGTTGAGAATAATAAAAAAAATTAAAACGGACATGTTATTTTGAAGAATCTCTTCCTTAGAAAGGGAACTGTGAGTATAAATTGGATAACCACTTGTAGAATTAAATTTGAGTTTCTCTAAAATGTAGTTGCAACAATAATGGGCTTTACAAAAACTGACTATATTATCTGCTTTGTCAGCATGCACCAGTACATATTGATCATGTAATTTGGGTAATTCTTTAGTCACTTCTAAATTACTGAATTCAGAAGGATTGATGATTTTCATATTACTCCTCAAAAGTTTAGCACAATATTTTAACATCCAACTTCTACTTTTTATTCATTCTGACATGTATTCTTTAAATCACAAAAAGTCCCAGTCTTGTATATCACCTTATTACAAGTTGAAGTCTGCATCTTGTATTTCTTACAAACATTCTTCGACTATTGCTTCTAAACTTTTTAATTGCAAATTAAATCTACAGTGCATTAATTGATATCGACCATCAGAAACAAAATCCGCCTACGTGTTCACTGTTATGTCTCTGTGTTCTATTAAAAATTCCCATTGCAAACACGGACTTGATCGAATCCTCACTGAATAATAATCATACCAATAAATTCCGGGGTTATACCTTCATAACTGTATTGCATTTTGTTTGAACTCTGAACTATTTCCTTTTGTCCTTGTTTGTTCACCATTACTACATAACTACATGAGGCGTGGGTACTATACCTATTATGAAGAAAGATAAAGTCTAAAGGATAAATACAAAGATAAACAAATTCATTAAATATAAACCTTATGTATATCGTCGAAGACCATTTAATATTTTTCGATCATTAATCTGTATAAATGAATAATTTAGAAATCATATCATTCATTTGACGTTCTAGTTATATTTGATTATGCATAGGCATACTAAACCATGTTAAATATTACATAGTCTGTCAATGACAGCATTGTTTCCTAAATGTAGGTCACATTTCAATTGTTATCACCTTGAAGGATATGGAGTTAAGGCAACACAGTCATGATCAGAAGGGTATGGAACAAAATCGTCACAGGTATATATATATATATATATATATATATATATATATATATATATATATATATATATATATATATATATATATATATATATATATATATATATATATATATATATATACATATATATTTATTAGGGATGTCAAATCGGTCAATTTTTGATAATTGGTTACTCGGTCGTTTTTCCGATCGAGTACCCGGGTACTCGGATATGTAAATATAAGTGTGTTATTTTTTTCACAGGACTTCGCATACCTATCAATTTTACCGAAATATTTAGTAATTATTGAAGGTACTACGTATTTTTTTATATTTACTGAAATTTTTGGTAAAATCGATAGGTACGCGAACTCCTGACAGGTGATTTTCTTGAGCCCCGTAAATCTCTGTTAAACTTCAAAGCTGTTTTTATCACGTTTATAAATGTATATATATATATATATATATATATATATATATATATATATATATATATATATATATATATATATATATATATATATATATATATATATATATATATATATATATATATATATATATATATATATATATATATATATATATGTCCAACGGAAATGATTTATGGTACTAAATTTATTTAAGGAATGACTGTCTAATTTTTTGGATTCATGATGTGATCAATCGAGTGGCTTGCGTGATAATTTGCATAAACGCCGAAGGCGTTTATGCATAAAATTATCACGCAAGCCAATCGATTGATCATCGTCATGAATCCAAAAAATCTGACAGTTATTCCTTATATTTACATGCTCCTGATTCTGCAAATTCCCGTGCTAATAGCCCCGCTTCTGTCTCTATTTGTCCCGCCCCGCACGTGATTTTTTTTAACCGCGCCTACCGATGAACCAGTAGATTTATGTAGAAATAAAGTATTTTTACAATCAGTAATTTTATCTCGGACAAAGACATTAGAAATGTAAATATTTATCAAATAAAAACAAAAGACACAATTAATACATCAAAAATTACAAATGGTTTACTGTTCTTGTATAGGATCTATGTCATCAACGCAGAAGGACAATCTGTTACGCAGGTTTGTGATGATTAGAATTGCTGGGATCGCTAGTCCAATGATATTTCATATGTTGGTTGTGTTCCCATATACACTAAACTTACTACACAAACTGACTTCCAACATATTTTTAATCTATAGTTATTTCTAAATATTTCTTCACTTTTAAAGTGGGTACATGTAGCGGTATTTCTATGCATGTCCGATTTCGCTGCCGTATATTAACTAAATAATTTAAAAATGATTTGAAAATAATAGACCATACTTAAACGATGTTCACTGAAAACAATCATGGAAGCCATCCAAAAGTTAAGGACCATGATAGGTGAGAAAAGCTGTGTACGGTGATTGGTCACTAATTATATTAGTTACATAGTTTTTTAGTGACAGGGTACGGGATGATACCTGGTTAGTAAATTTCATACCTGGCTCGGCTTCGCCTCGCCAGGTATGAAATTTACTAACCAGGTATCATCCCGTACCCTGTCACTAAAAAACTATGTAACGAATTTACCCCACCGATAAAATATTTATGCATTGTCTGTGGTTTGTAAAATTGTATATGTTTCATCACTCATACAATGCCTATTATGACGTCACGTTGTGTGACGTAATGTTGTTTTGCGAGTGTTTCGTGCTGTAATAACGTACTGACAGTTTTGAAGACTTTCAGTAAAGGGAGAAAAAGGTTCCATCTTCGTTACTTACATTAGTTAACTGTAACATTGTCAACAGACACTCTGCAAATCGCGTGAACTCGAGTTGTTCGAACGTTACAAAAGAACGATATCTCCGTATCGACCATGTATTGATTTTCAAGCGACTAGGTATAAGTAATACACCCCCTTCACGTGACAGACTTCAACCAATCGTAAGCCAGGATTTCATCGAAAAATCAACAGAGGTGGGGTAACTGTATATACACGGCCACAGTTGCAGGCGATAACGGGCGTTTTACAGGTGCAGATAACGACGCGCTAATTACCGTATGCATATGTAAGTTATTTTTTGATATATTTTTTTTTTATAAAAATATATACTTTGAAATAGGAATATACTTCCGAGTAACCGAGTACCATTTTTAGTATTCGATACTCGGACGTTCGATCGAGTACCCGGTTAACCGGGTACTCGTTGACATCCCTAAAATTTATTTATTCAAACTATGCAAATTTACCTATTTTTTACCTAAAAATCGGTCGTCTTTGAATCAAATTTATCAGAAGAGTTGGTACATCTTTACTTTGCATTCTTGAAGTTAGGAATCCCTTAAAGTTTAGCACATAGTCAATACTAAGAATAGAGAAATTGACATTTATGGGTCTTATTGTATTAGTAATGAAATGTGCATCTGACTAGCATTTTTTTTTAAATGAATATTTTATTAATCAAAACATCTAATATCATGTTTTTCCTTCGGCTTTCAGTCGCATGCTTGCTCTCTATACTTCTAGTAGAAGGTAAGTCCAATATTTTGGTCTTAATAATAGTATGAAATAATTTCCTTAACCTTTTTGGATACATATCAGCTTATAAGACAATGAAATGTTAATTTTAAAAATGTTACAATTTGATAATACATGCAAACAAAACTTTTTAGCCTGACCAATCCTTCTTAGCTATTATTTCAACTGTATTAAATTCTATTTATTTGCTTAAAATGATACAACAAAATTACTGTTTCTTTTTCTACATGTGGAGTAAAGCTGATGGTCTTCTGTGCTTTCATTGTAATCTTGTTGATAATCCCCTACAATGTCATTCTACCACTGCATGTAACACCCACGAGGTAAGAAATATTATTTTGTTAAACTTGTGGCAAAGGTTCTTTTTAGCATACCAATAATAATGTTTAACAGGCAGGCCACTAATAGATAAGTTGATGTTACAGCGCTTTCTATAATTTCGTTTATAGTAAGCATTTCGCAAATGTTATGGACGTTAAATATGAGCTTTACAACAGATACAACATACAGTGTATCTTTGGTCTGAATGCTGATGGTTCATACCAGTTGGTAGATTATTGTCATTAAAACAATATGGAATGCGGGTGTTTACTGAATAATCTAAAGGGCTCAAGGCGAGTGTTACCAGTCGACAGGGTAGGCATCTAATCCCACATCTGTGGTTTCTAGAGGTCAGAGTTTTACCCTATTCACGATTTGTATTTTTTACAGAGTTTGTAAGACTATAGACGATAATAGTCAACTAATAACTAAACTGTATGACAAACGGGATGACTTCAGCGTTTCAATAGTCAACTTTCCTTATTATGTAGTAATATCAAAAAATAACCTGATATGGTGTTTATGTCTCCAAATTGCTCTGAGTACGATCAATTTGAAAACTGATGCAAGCTACTGGCAAATAAATGATGATACAGGAATTTCAACAATTCCGCTTAAAGTCAGCGTTTAGAAAATTCTACAGTCTTTAAATTGACCTTGTTTGTAAATGCAACCTAGCTTTGGGTCGTGTTTTGTCTGGCATGTTTAATACCATTTGCTAGATCATTACTTTTATACTATTTGACTACGGAGTACTACGTACATCTGAGCAATACATAAGGCTCACGGTGGTTGTGACCGGTTTACAAGGGATGTTTACTCTTCCTAGGCATGAAATATATAGAGATAACGACCGGTTTACAAGGGATGTTTACTCTTCATAGGCATGAAATATATAGAGATAACGAACAGTATTCAAGGTCAAAAGTCCATTAAACAATACAAAATAGGAGCAGAGCAAACACGGACCTCCAAAACATCAGAGGTGGGATCAGGTGTGATGGAGGAGTGAGCATCCCCTGCCGACCGGTCACACCCGCCGTGAGCTCCTTGTCATGATCAGGTTATAACGGAAAAATCCGTCGACAATTCAGTGTGTAAATAATGGTCTAATCCCATCTCTGGTTTTCAAGGGGTCGGTGTTTTTGCCCTGTTCATGAATCGTTTTGTTTACTGGATTTCTGATATTGATCACTATTCGTTATATTCACATTTTTCATTGAACACTGTTTGTTATCTTCACCTTTTTCATTGAAGGGCTGGGTATAATTTTTCAAATCGGTCTTATTTTGAAATGTTTTTCTCAGATAGGGAATATATTCTTTAACACGCAGAAGCATTTGAGTATCGAGTTTCTCTAACTTGCATTGTAACGAAAATATATTGCTTTCCTCTTAAGAAAAGGTGCAATGTACTAACGTTGATGTATTTCACTAAGCTAAATAAAGACTTTTGAATGACTTTGCGCATGGAATGCAATGAATTTTCATATAAAAACATATGATTAACTATTGAATGTACATGACTTATCATGTTTTTTTTTTCTTTCAAAGAACAGAAAAAGCGTTTTAAATATAATTCATTGCCTTTTTTGTTCTTTGCCTTATCGTTGGATTCCTTTGTGCTTTTTAGTAGGGTCTTAAGATTTTTTTATTATGGCTTTATCACAGGCTTGTCATGTGACAGAGACTATTGATGATAACTTTAATCTGACCTACAGACTCGGGTGTGTTGCCGAGCAGGTAAAAGTCTACATGTATTTTGTGCGAAAAAATGTTACATTCATTTTCGTTATTTCTTCAGTCTAGATAAGGTGTATGAAAACACATTTCGACATTCACAGTGTCTTTATTCGCAAAGTTAATTATCTTGTACTTTAGGAGTGAACAAGTGTCTATTTTATTTCTGAATTCTTTTGAGATAGAAACTTAAAGAGTTTGCGATAAAATGATTCAAGGGACACAGTCCTTAGAATTGCCATATCATATTACAGTAGTTCATATAACATGCATCAATGTAGGAGTGTTCCCATCTTTCCCGGAGATTCCAAGATAATAGGAGGAGTTTATCTAAACAATGTTGTAGCACAGACTTGTGTAACAGGGGTTATCCAGGACTATTGACCAATAATGCCCCTCCAACAACTTCTCTCCAGACAACCTCATCCAGAACCACAACAACAACCCGACCCAAGACAACCGCCCAGGCAATCAAACACACAACAAATCAACATTACACCAATACCCATGATCACCATACAAACCACACTATAGATGGTAAAATACACACCATATTTTAAAACAAAAAAAATCTACGACTGCATTCTCCATGTCTGAAACATATGTATGAGATACAAAAATACATTAGTGTTATCTAAGTAAATATTGTCAGTTTGAACCATGATAACCTGCATTTTTAATATCGTGATACATTTTTTGGCTTTGGCACTGCTTTTGTGAGTTACGTACTCCACTTCAAACAGAAAAAATAAATTGTATAATATATAAAATAATTAATACCATTAAACCTTGCTTGTGCAAATAGTGCACGACCTTTTTTCGCGCAAAAGCTTGAATGCATGGAATTTTATTTAAAATACGCTTAACTAGAAATGCTCAAGGGAGTACTCAATTACATCCAAAACCTTAAAAGGTTTGTGTTTATAGAAAAATTCAGTGTAAGCTTAATTGTGTTTTACTTACGGATATCTAACGAGGATATAAACCTGTTGAGAAAATTCATAGATTTTTGTAATTGTTTTTATACAGACAGGTGCCCCCATGGACATACATATGACGGTTACTGTTATGTGCCCTCTATACATTACGGACATCGTTGGAGCCAAGTAACACGACACAATGCAGATGTAAGCGGTCTAATCTTTAAGAAAGAAAATCGAATCATGAATGTGAAAGTTTTCGATTTCACGTTACAGCAAATGGAAATAACCTTTTAAAGGAATCTCTGATTCTGATCAGACAGAATGATGCATTTTATGAAGCGTGATCGACGCCTTCACGATCTCGCACCTTGTCAATGTGTATATGGATTAAATTCATTATTTAACAAAGTGCTATTTACGTCTGCATAATCCTTGTTTTTCTAATACAGTAATACTCTGTAAGTACATCAGATACTTAGCTGGTACTTAACACTTCTCCATCCATTTCATTAATTTACATTCTGATACATGCACTTTTGAAAACTTCTCTTGTCAAAAGCACGTAAGGCAAACGTGTTTCTATAGGTCAGTAACAATAAAGACCAAAGTACTTCTTGACCAATTGTTTAACTATTATCTTTCAGTCGTACTGCAGAAGTCATGGTATGACTCTACCCAGCATCCATTCACAAATAGAGGAAGCATTCATACAGAGAATTATGACAAAAAGTACATGTATATTCTCATTCTTTTATTTTATTATTTTGATATGTAGATTGTTATGGCCTCATATTTCTTACTCTCTTATCATCTATAATCCTTTTTGAAAGAACAGTTTTGTATTTTTTTTCACCCATCTTCATTTTCTATGAGATAAAATATTTGGATTGTCAAGTATTGAAACTAAGAATTGAAAAATTGAGTTTCGGCCCAACCCAGAGACAACCACTTCTGTAGCCCACATGACATAGGGATTTGCTAATCTGTAACAGGCATCTCCATATGAGTGAAAAATTCTCGAGAGGGACGTTAAACAAAAAAACTAATCAGTAACACAGATCAGTTGGGAAGGTAAAAAATGATTGACTTTTTTCCGAAAGATATTTTGATGTAGCACCCAGTAAAATTCTGTGACCCCAATCCGAGGAGAAGGATTTATATTGCTAAAAGACAAAGGGTATATAATATATATAAATCTAGACAATTTTTATTTTCAGAACTTTTTTCCCTATTCCAGAAAATGTTAGCTCAAATTTTAGCACATGATTGATTGATTTCGACAAAGTTTAAGTTTCTTCCTATTCTCCACAAAAATTCTTGTGTTGAATTTTTCAAAATTTTCATTGAGTTGCACAGGTATTAACTTGAATTCATATGTATACATACACCTTTCTTTTATTATGATTAACATCAAAATATTGAGTAAACAACGATTGTCCGATTTTGTAGCTATCTTCTGGATCGGTCTCCAGAATACACGATGGGACGATGGAACCTCATTTAATTTCAACCGTTTGGATCACAATAACTATCATTCTGCTTCAAACAGACATTGTATCGTCATGGGCAAGGACATGAAATGGTGGGCTGTTGGATGCGATCAGCACCATTACTTTTTATGCAAAAGAAAGTATGTCAAAATACCCTTACATATAAACGTTTAGTGAAATGCAAATTTAGCCATCTGTCCTTTTAAAAATCAGTATGCATAAATTAGTGAGGAATAATTTGTACAATTTTGTATCAACAACACAGAAAATAATGTACAGATAATAGTAAAAACAACTAGTATCTAGTTATAATTAATAATTTGAATTAATGTTTGTATTGTTTTCCAGGATGGACCTATCCGGATAAATTTGCAAAATTTGTTAACTGAAGATATCTTGCAAGTATTTCCAGGAATTATATAATTCCAAACTTGCATTTCTTGATTATTTTTATACAATCGATAGAAAATGGTACTTTAAAAATAAAAATATATGTTAAAACAAACAATGTCGTGGAATATTCATAATTAAAAAATGTTTGTTTTGTAATTTGATATGTAATCTTTTATCAATTTCGGTTGTCATATAGTAGAAAGACCCTGTAAGTTTGAAATCAATACAAAAAGTTACGAATGTGTCCAATAAGTTTGGAAATCTGGTCACTATCAAATTTATTAAATTTATTTTCAACTTACTGGATATTGCCAGGTAAAAAGAAAACAAAAGAAAAATAATATATTTGTCAAACAGAGGCAAATTTTTCACTACTGCACATCACAGCAGAATTGGAAAAAGCATATTTTGAATTCCATGCTTTATATGAATTTCACTTCATCCAGAGGCACTTTATGAAGAGGTCTTAGACCAATCTGCATATAGCTTCCCTATTTTCAGATAGCCCATATCGTATCAAATCAGACCATTTGAATAAAAAAAAAATTGTTTGCCCTCTCCCGACCGCCTGACTTAAAATGGCCCAACTCAAAACTTTTTTTAATTTAACCTCCAGTTATCTTATCTTATATATATATATATATATATATATATATATATATATATATATATATATATATATATATATATATATATATATATATATATATATATATATCTCCGAAGTTTTCTCATCCCATTAATAACTATTTTAACATCATATTTGCAAGTAACTCTGAATAAAAAAAAATATTTCCTCCTACCTACCTACCCAAGTTTTATCATTAGTCGGGAGAGGGCAAGCAAACATTTTGTTAAAGATGTCCTCATCAAGATCTTTTTGATTCAGAGAATTGTGGAGTTTTTCTTTGATCTCCTTATTTTGGCTGACGCGAACTTCTTCTTCAAATATAGCCGAAAAATATCTTTTTAGAATGAAATTTGGTTCAAAGTACGAGGGCTATTCATTAAATAGTGAGACTTCTTCAATACAGTAAGAAATAACATAGTATTATTTTCTATTTTATTTACATTCCTTCAAAATAATCACCCTTTACTTCAACACATCTTTGAAGTCGTTTTATCCAGCTTTGGAACGCGCCTCTATACTCCGAAAGAGGTATACTCTTTAGACACTGATACACCGCTGAACCTAATGCAGAACGGGAATGGAAACGCCGTCCAGATAGCATTTTTTTCAATTTAGGGAATAAGAAAAAGGGGGATGATCCAGTTGCTGTATTCCATTTTCACACAAGAAATCTTGTGTGTACTTTGCAGTGTGTGCTGGAGCATTATCATGTAAAAGCTTGATCCCCCTCATTCCTGACTTTGGTCTTCTGTTTTTGTAATGTTTTTGTACCTCAGACAATATCTTTTTCACGTAAACAACTTTAGTAACACTTCTGCCCTTTTTAATTGGAATTTGAGCGACTATCCCGTTAGAATCAAAAAAGATTGCATACAAAACCTTCCTTGCTGTCTTGCCGCGTTTAGCAATGGTAGGTCGTTTACTTTGTTTAAGGAGCCATATTTTGTTTCCCAGTTTTCTCTCAGGTTCATAAAAATGTAGCCAAGTTTCATCCCCCGTAACAATTTCATGTAGACGTCTTTTATCACATTTTCCGTAAATTTTCAATAGTTTTCGAGAAATTTGCAATCGCTTTCTTTTTTTTGCTCATCATTTAAAATGTGTGGGATCCACCACGCAGATACTTTCCTGACTCCTAAAAGTTCTTTTAAAATCTTAAAAATGCTACCCGATGAAATGTTCAGCTTCTTGGCAATCTGCTTCACGGTCACTCTGCCGTCTTTGTCGATAATGTTTTTTACTGCTGCAACTGATTTCTCATTGATAACTGATCTTGGCCTTCCGGGCTGTTTGATATTTTCAACTGCCTCCCTACCAAGTTTGAAATGCTTTATCCATCGATAAACGGTTTTGATAGATACAGCAGAGTTTCCATATAATGACACGAGTTCTTTGAAAATTTCTTTTCCCGTAATATTCATTAGAAAGCGATACTTAATATACGACCTGATGTTCAGAATGTCCTTTCGGGACTTTCCTTCTGTCTTCATGTTAACAGTGTCCTCAGGGTGGGTCCGAAAAAGATGCTTTCTTTGAAAATTGCTTTATAAATAGGTTGTGACTACGTGTCAAATCAATAGTATGGAAGACAATAAACATTTCAAGAGATGTTCCAATTCAATCAAGTGTAAAATTTAAAAGGAGTACATTTAGTGTCATTATTTAATGAATAGCCCTCGTATTATTACTCTCCATGTCTATAATATCACTTAGTAAAATTTCAGTATTTGGACTTAAAAGTATGATTGAATTTTAAAAAAAAAAAAAAAAAAGAAAGAAAAAATGCTCTCACCATCATCTTGTTTATATGGCTGAAATTGAGGAAATTCATGTTTTGTAGCATTTTAACAGTTGTATTAAGCCTAAATTTTTTTGAGAGAAAGAACTGATCTCGGCCCTATGGGCCCCGATCAGTTCTTTCTCTCACAGAATGTAGTTTTTGACTTATATCCTTCGCATAATGTCTGTATTATAATCAGATGTAATATATCAATAGAAAAAAGTAACATTTTAAAATTATTTAATTTCAAATTACAACCTCATTACAATAAATATCAAATATTGCAGTCTATGATTTAAATATAATTTTTTATATCAAAGAGATGTCAATTTGCTTAAATATGATCATGAACTTTGCCTCAAGGATCTCTATCACTAAGACAAATCCAACAGGTACTTCGTATTGGTGCTTCTATAGAATAAAACTCCTGGCCTAAGGATCATGAAACAGACTTAGACTTAAGTCAAATTTTCAATAAAATGTTTATTAATTATGAATTAATCTGTAATTTTGCAGATAACAACACATTTGTAAAACTATATTGAAAAAAAAATTAGTTTTGGGCTGCTTGACTTCTACAACATTTTAGTACAACATTAAAGATTTTGACTTACGCTTAAGATATCTTATGAGCCCTGGGCCTGGTGAATAATTTCATTATTTTCTGTGTAAAGTAATTTTTGCTTCTCTTCTACAATTAAGTATAAACATGCATGGTAGATTTTTTGGTGATTATTTCAACAATATGCTAAATATATTTAATAGAGGATCATTCAGATGTTGTACCTGTACATCTGTTACATGAATAATAGTGAAATTTTTAACTGAATGGAAATCGAATGGAAAGCAAATTAACTGAACAGCAAGGATTTGTACTCATTTATAAACAAACAGGTCGTAAAAGCTTTTTTTTAAATTTTAGTGGAAACATTTAAGTGAGATGTTGCCTTTAATACATCTAGGGGAAAAAATTATGTTGTTCATACCATATTGAATACAGCTACAAATACTTTATTTGTTGTCTACATTTGCCCTGATTGACTACACTTGGGAGATAACGTATCTGTGATAAGCTCTGGTGAATTATAATCTATAATTACTTACTGTCTCCACGTAAAATAATGTCAATGTTTCTCCCTAGTTCTTCGCTGTTATTTTTGCACATTATATTTTTAAAACGTGTTATGAAATGATTTTTTTTTCACAATTTGAAAACCGTTTTGTTATGTCTCTGATCATTTTAGATAATTCTGTAGCTCAGTAAATCTGATTCAATGGTACGAAGAAAATCACATACCCATTTTAGTCGTTTTATAACATTACCTATGGAATTATCCCTTGTTTTACAACAGAAATATCTCATGCCTCGGTCGGACGTGTTTTTCCAAAAAGCCCAAAGAACATAAATTATAGAGCTACATAAAATTCATACATATGGGTTGAAATTTCTCAATCTTCAACTTTTCTTTAATTTTTGCATGTAGTTGAAAATTCTTAATTTTTTTTGTTATATGTTGATTCCCAAAGCTAAGACTGAAAATTTTAATCTGGTTACATTTATTTCTAATGCGTCCATTGTAAAAAAAAAAATCATTACCAACTGAGATATTTCAAACGGGAATCTAAAATTTCAATCACTGGAAAACAAATGTGCGCATATATTACATAAGGCTTTACTTATACAGACTTGGCATGAATCTTTAAAGACTTGACGTTTTGAGAAAATAGAACTTTTTGTATTTTTCACATCATTTAGTATACACTTTAAACTAATTTTTTCTACACTGGCAATCAGTTAAATCTAGAGCAATTGACTGGAGTGTCAGTATTCTTAAAGGGCTTGTTGCATGTTGTCTTACCCGACTTTAAATAAATATTATCTTTTCTATCTTTATGCCTTCCTCTTCCATCATGACAAACAGAAATTTACTCTGTATATGATATTTTACCCTGTTTATGAAGTAGCAATAAAGACAAAACACCAGATTATATTGCGAAAATTTTTTACACAAATTGAGGTAAAAATTTTTAAAAATAAATATACATGTAAAATACATACATGTAAAATTAAAAAAAATGTGATATATGATAACATAATGAATTATCACTAAAAAGACAAAACCATGCAAAAACCTTTAAAGGTAACAAATACATTAGGCCTATCTTCATAATACAAAAAATACAAAGTAAGCTTGGCCTTGTAAGGGGTCAACAGCCTCCTAAACCGAATAAAGAATCAAACTTTAATGGGGATGAAGGGATGGGGTGTGGGAATATTTTTTTAAAAAACCCATGCAGAACTTTTTACAGTGTTTACATCAGGGAGGCTAAAAATGATGTTTCTCAATTTCTTGATATTAAAAGCGTAATACGTTCATCATGTATAGTAACCTGAGAAGTATTTTATTAAAGAGAAAAACATAACACAGACTATGAATAGTATTTATCCTACGTAAGTTTGGTCAATATTGTCCATTTAGTCAGCTAGGAATAAACGTGCTTCAAATTTCATCTCGATAGCACGTTAGTACGTCAAATACAGTATCCAAGATAATGTAAGTAT